AACATCATAGTGTTTAGTACACAATCATATTTTTTTTTGAACAGCTTAGGAGTTCCTTTTCGTATCACATATGAGATTGTTTCCTTAAATTTACTTAATACTTTGGAACGGAAGTCTGAGTTGATGGTGTTTAATCAACATTTATAGGTCCTATCTATACAGGGCTTTTCATGATGAGCGTTAATTAGCCGTTTCTGGCAAACTATTCAACGGATCAACCTGAAAATTCCACAGTATGCATAAGTCAATATGACCTACACGCGTAAAATATTTTGGACGAAGCGGCGTTGTCGCTTCTTCTATAAAGTGGCGGCTTCTTTGATTTTTCAAATGGAACAGCAACAGCCGTAGTCAGAGGAATGGTGAGAAATAATAGAAATGCAGTGCATACAATAAGTTAGCAAGTTTTCTTATGGAAGGTGATGTTTCCATTTCGTGTCTGAAAGAGGATCGAAAACTGAGAATTCCCTTGTAAAACGAGATGGATATATCTTCTTTATATATATGGACAAATGCTAAAGCCTTTTCCAATGAATCAGTATCGTTAACATTTTGCAAAGTGGCAGGACACTGAAATTGGAAACACCCAGTAAAAATCAAAATCTCGAAGTGAAGAACATTATCTTGATTTAAAGAAATCTTGCTCTCGTATATAAACTGCTTATTCTGAAGCTTATTCTCTCAAGTTTAATTTTTATAATTAATTTAAATGGACTGAATAAACGCTTCTTTCGAGTAAAAAAAATATTTTGCCCACATTTCGATAAAAATCATCACGTTAGCTCAAGAGAAGTAAGTATGCATTCTTTAGTGTGAGCAAAATTAATCTCTAAGCAAAACACTTTTTTGGGTTTTGAAAGAATGATATGTTAACTTGGAACACTATTCAAATATCTCCGTAGGAGAAATTAACTGTTTGCCTTTGAAGAGAAGCATTTTTCATTCAAACGCTTTTATTTGTATATATCAAATAAACTCATTTACTTCATCAAAGATGAGCATCAGCTATAAGTGGTAAGGGAAGAAATTAGATAATACATTATATATTATGATTGGTTTATTTGAAGCAACTGAAAATCATAAATATTATTTGAAAAAGCATATGATGAAAAACAAAACCTAATAAAGAACTACATTTTCTTTGCTAATCTTTGCTTAAATGTCATATTCCATCCGCACACTATTGAGAGATAATACAGAGTTATACAAATAACAGAAATAAATATTCAATCCGAAAACATATATAAAAAAGTGTCATATTCTTGACAAATTGAAAATTATCAAATAAAATAGAATCGAGGTCTATAAACAACATTACAACTCAGACAAGAAAATGAATTAATTTATTAGTAATTATACACAAATAAAGTTTTAAAAAATAGATGCCATTCTGGTAAATAACATTAAAAAAATATCACTTTCGTCTATCGTTCTGCATTCTGCTTCTGTTTATCCACAATTGCCGAAACATCACTTGGATTCTTAAACGAAAGAAGAAATCAGCACATCATCGTTAGCCACTATTTCAAATATCTAGAAAGGTAAAACTATGAAAACAGCTGCCACTTAATCACAAAAAATATTTTTTTAATAAAAAACTGTTTTACTGAGTTTATTACGTTACCCAACCCAATTGTTATCCGCATACGAACGACAACCCTCAAAATTTCAAACTTGTCTAAGATCTTATTGTTTAACATACGATTCCTATCAAGTTAAAAGCTGTATAAACATTCCTTTATCAGAAATAAACAATCAGTTCAAAAAATTCAAGTCTTCACGGAAAAATTCTCTTCCAAAATAATTATTTTGGAACCGTTATAGGAATTGAAAGTGTTGTGTTAGTATTATTAGACGATCAATGAAAAATATAAAAGGTTTCATTTAAAAAATGTAACTCATGATCATACAAACATAATTAAAGGTATGTCATTAGCTATTTAAATAAAAACATTCACTGTTTTCACGTTTTCGGAAATTCTGATTTCTCCTCTAGTAATATTTCTACCTATTTCTTACATTCCTAAAAAAAATATAACAAATAATTCCAAGCTGAGTAGGATATATTCAATTTGTTCCCAATGAATAAAAACCATTTCTGAAGTAATTATAGAAAGCAAAGACATTTCGAAATTCAACAAACATTTACATGTTGAAATCAGAAAGTGGCTGTCATATGTAGGTGCTTTTTATATCTACTAGTGCCTATTTTGGTATTTTTTGTATTATAATGTTTTGTCAAAACTATAAGTACCTCTATCGTTCAATGGAAAATGAATTCAGTCTGAGAGAAAATCTAATTTTATTTAGAGAAAACGCACTTATTTAACACACTGCGTGCCACGTCGTTCATATATGAAAGACAGCAACATTTCTGCGGGGGTCCGTCGGTCATATTTCAAAGACAGACATCTTTCACTTCCTGACAGTGTATATCAAAACTGAAATACGCTGCCGTGCATTTCAAATGGGGAATCTTCTGCGTGGCCTCTAGGGAAAGTATTATGAACCTTGGTTTGAGGAAAATTGGAATTATAAAGATTTGGTAGTACATTATACATATACAGTGACTCAAATCAACCATCATATGCGAAGAAAAAAGTTTCTGATATTTTTTATTGAATAATTACAAAAATAAAGAAGCATTCCTATTCCAGAGAATTATACCTAATATATAATAGAACAAAAATAAGAATAAGAACACGATAGACACATTTGTGGTTGCCTGGCACACTCTGCAATAATTGTACGTCATTTTTGCTTTATTTTTTGCAACTATACGACCTAATGTCTTTTGTAGTTTTGAATAACGCACGGAACACTGCCGACGGATTTTTTTTTTTCGTTTTCACCAATTCTCACAGCTAGATGGTGATATGTAGTTGTAGATGTAGGTATCTTTGGCGTTTCTGAGTGTTTCTCATGGCCAAGTAGGTTTGCTGCCAAAATATCCTTGAATGCACGGATTTGAATTTTCTTCTTAGTGGCCCGTTTGTACAGGACCCATGCGTTTACAACTGCTACTCCTAAAAGCAATTCCATTCCTAACTTTCTATACCATTTTAAAGTGAAGTGGGGTAACAGTGTAGTAAATATATAATAATTTATAAAAAGATATTATCAAAAAATGTGATTGAACAAATAATATATTTTTTATTATTTCTGTGAACTTCATGTACCTTAAAGTTTTTGTTGTATTTTATAGGGTTTTTTTTTCAAACAGGGTTCATACTACACACTTCCCCAGACTTTTGGGGCAAGTGTGTAACTGGTTTGTATCTCAAATAGTTATACAGTTAAAATTATGTGGGGCAAGTGTTTAAAACTACTTAATACACTGAATAACACAATAGAAAAATGATTCCGATCGTACAATAAAATGGTACAAAAAAAAATAATTTTACTGTGTAAGTGTCGAAATGAAAAAAGTTGCATTTTAGCTAAACTTCGTTTTATTCATCTTTAGAATGAAGATTTTACTTCGTCTGACAGAAATTAACTAAGAACTATTCTACGTTATAAAAAGAAAAGTCTATTTTAAATTTTATTAAACCTCGTCGACCAAAGTAGGGTGATGGGAGTGAAAGAATGATGTCCTCTCTTGCAATAAATGCACATTCTTCAGGGCATTTCCATATAAAAGTTGAAGAAGATCTGAAGTAGGAACTTTTTTGATAAACTTTTTTTCAAAATCATTATATTCGCTATCAGCAGCACGTATGATCTGGCCAACATAGTACCTTTTGGACTTCACCCAATCATTTTCTGTTATTGCATTCAAAGGCTTACTAATTTCATTCATAGAAGCTTCTAGTGCTTCTTCTTCTCTCACCTCTTCTTCTATGCCATCGTCACTACCATCAAGTATTATTTCTTCCTCTTGTTCGTTTTCTTCTGGTTCAAAATTTTGGTGAACTTCTGCTTGAAATCCTTTGTTTTTGTTTTTTTTTTTGGTATCATGTATTTCTTGCAAGCGATTGGAAGCTTCCTTGGCTGTTATCACTTTTGCTACAGAAGCTACTCTCGTCTTTACCCTTTCGTGCGGATTATATTGTTTGACAGTAGATAGAAGTAATTCTTCAAATGTGCACTTTGTTTCTGATGGCACGTCATTCTCATTGGAAGTACCAGCAACGCTCCATTGTTATTAAGCACTCTGCAAGTTTTGCTTCTTCATCATAAGGAATTGCTGTTCCTCTTCCCATAGACGAACTTTTGACACCTCTCAGTCCCCTTCGGGACTTTAGCTACTTTTGAGCTACAGAGGTTTAAAGTTAACGCTTCATAACAAAATTACCTGTTACCATTTTTTTAAGTATATATTAAATTTAAAAATATCAGAGATTAACTTAGATATTTAAATGCATATCATGGCCAAATTTCATGTTATTACGCCAAAAATCACAAAATAGTGGACTTGGTTCAAATGTATTCTGAAGAATTTCAGGAAGATAATGAACCAACTCCTTGTGTTGTTAATACATTTTATTTTTACATTTTCTTAGAGGTCAAATTATAAATATTAAAATAAAATATCACTTCTTAGTTATAGAGAAGTTAATTGACATAAAAAAACTCATCACTGTCATTTCCTTCAGTTGCTTCGTCGTTCTGGGTTCGACGAGTTGCCTGATTCCCTGGAAGATTTCTGAAGTATCCATGGTGAATAGGGGGTATGTAAGGCAGTAGAGACAACATGTCCTCCTTTTTTTTAAAAGCCATTTGTCTTCTGGTTGGGTAAAGCTGACCCTGCTGTACAGTCAATAACTTTTGCACTTTCAGGGGTCTTCCAGGTCTACGGTTACTGGTCTTTTTCGATATATCCAAGGTTCGGAACCCCGAAATTTCACTGAAAGATTCTTTTATTTTTATTTGGAAGGGTGCTCCTTTTTCAAACCTCAACCACCGTATCTCAAGCCAATTGATTTTTTTACCTTCAGTGTCCTTTTTCCTGTTTGTGATTGAATCTTCAAGGGGTTTTGTGCTCAAAAACTCTTCTNACCGACGCCTACTGACAGTTGAGGCCTTAACTAAGCCCCTCAAAAAACAGTTTTGTTTTGAATAATCTGCTAGTTTCCAAAATGAATTAAAAAAATATTTCAATGTATCTTCAGAAGGGAACTTCCCACGGCACTTTCTGGGGCATTTACAGTCATATCCAGAGGGAAATATCTTTGCTGGCGTTACCTATTACTGCGAGATGTGTACTCTTTACCGCTGTTAAGATTCAACTTCCTCTTGTTGATTTACCAGTTTTCAAAGTTCCTCGGGCGCTTTCTTCCTCGGGAAATATTTTCATTTTCCCCATCTGAATGGTCAGAGGGAGGAATGATGATGGCATGAGTGTTCGAGGCAGGTACGATGATGTCACCTGGAGCTGCAGGCTCCTTTGATGTACTGGGTTCAGCAAGATCATAAGAAATGTGTTCCTTCAGCAGGTTCTTAGGCGGACGCCTCCGTTTCGATCTGGCCGACAGAACAGTCTTGTCGTCAGATGAACTATCACAGTCTAAAAAAGAAAAATATATAAAATTAGATGTTTACTGCAATGGGGCCTTTTAACACAAGCCTGCAAATTTGAACTTTTTGAAAAATACAAGAGACTTCTTTGGTGATCTATACGTTATTTAGTATGCTGGTTTCGAAAATAGCCTCCATTTCCCCCCATCACGTCAGGTTTTTTTGAAAGTATCACATAATTATAGTTATAATTATTAACATTGTATTTACCTGTGTCAAATTCGTTTGGCGACCACTCTTCATCTGATCCAGATGAAATATCCATCACGTAACACAACTAGCCAACAAAAATAATTCGTATAAACTGCCAAAAGCTGTAAATAAAGAGATTAAGGACGTCAACACAGAGCTGTACACAGTAAACAAACATCACATGGACAGTCCATAACCTCCCGAACTGTTTACTCTCACATCAGCTGTTTTATCAAAACAAAATGATTGAAATATAGGTTTAGATACCCGGAATACCACCTATGCAGGTTTTCATTGAAAATCTAAAAGCTAACACGAATTTTTCTCACGATCTGGCAACTATGCATGGATTTGGTTCATCAGTATTCTGAAAGAAAATAACAATCTTTCACTAAACAGTAGAACTTCCTGCTGCCTAGCGGATATTATCAGAACTAGGACATGGTTCATTATTACACTGAAATTTTACATAGTTGGAGCATGTTATAGCGTTGCTAACTCAAAAATGACCAAAAGTGGACTTGGTTCACTTGTATTCTGAACCCTCCAAATTTCCCTTTTTGGGTTAGAGGTAAGTGCGTAGTATACTACGCACTTCCCTCTGTTGTTTTAATGGATGTTGCTGAAATCATTTAAAATTTTTATATATTGATGTTGGTGCATATAGAAAAGATGCAGACNTTTATTAAAAACTATAACTGAAGAACAACATAGACATTAATGGATGCTAAGCATCAATATCGCAATTCATTCTATTACATCAAACGTTACCAGATAAATATTTAGCTCTATCAATATAATGCGTGGATTTTGATACTAACCGCTGAGAACTCTATTATGAACAACGAATACGCCAGTTTGTTTCTTTTTGATAACTCAGGACAGGGTTGAATCCAAAATATTATCATTTCTTTAATATTTCAGACATACATAGTTCTTTTGATAATAGCAGGGGGTAATATTACGATCGGTTTACCTGTCGATAAAATACCAATAACCTTTCAATCTTTACAATAACTGGTGAGACGGTAGAGCATATAGTAACATGTAATTAGCGTCATCTAGATATAAAATCCACCACATAAAAAATACAATTTCTATTAATTTAGTAATAACATCACAGTAACCAGGCAATTTTAGACATTTCCGGTTAGCGTTTGTCAAATTAATAATAAACATTGGGCTAGTGCAGAAAACATACTAGGTCAGAATTCACATTATAACACATGGTACAAATATTCATAATACTCATCTATAAAAACACTTTAAGACCAATAGATGACATTTTTAAACAGGGGAATTAGCACGCATAGACAGTCTTATGGATAAACATTTCAAACATGAGTCAATAAAAACCGAGATCCTGGGTTATCATAATTAAAGGTAATCAGTTCGTAAAGGACACAAGATTATAATTTGCGGTAATCAAACATTTCAGCAGGATGCATAGGGAGAGATCAAATGATACCTTTATTTCGGAGATTAACGTAATATGAGTTTACTCGTAGAATTCGCACATTGATTAATCAGCGTCCACTATTTCGGCTTTTTCTTATTTATACTCACATTAGAATATTTGCAAGATCATATTAAAAACTTTCTCTCTCGAATGCAATAATCTTCTGTTTAATATTAGGCCACCAACTTTCGAATAGCCAACGTTAATTAACCCTCTACCCGGAACATCTCTAAGCCACCCTTTACACAGAACACCCGTCATAATGACCGCTATCGCTAAAAAAAGCGAAAACATACATTCTAGAGATTCATTTGTTACATATTTGGCATTTTTTATCTCTTTACTGTTTCGGAAGGGTTGAAATGAAAATATAAGCGAATATAAGAAAAAAAATATTAATATTTTATTAACAATAGGAACAAACAATTATAAATAATTTGTTTTGTCGGGCTTGAAACATTGTTTTTATTTAACTTAAACATAAGTAATACCTATTGTTTTTATTTTAATACGAGACTCAAAACAATAGGAATCAATTGACAAGATATTCAAAACCACACATTTTGTTGAGCATCCAAAAGGTATAAAAAAATACAAATCTTTTTCCAATGTCTATTGACCTGAAGTATCAAATAACTCAGAAAAAATTAATTCAAATAAAACAATTCTTTGAAAGTCTCATTGAAAATAAGAAGAAAATACAAAAAAGGAACAAAATAGTACAAAACATTTGCAATAAAATGGTAAAATCAGAGTCAAAATGAACCTAGAAAATTGTAAGAAACTACAAGAAAAAGAAAAAAAAAGCAATGAAGAATTACGAATTTCAGGAAAATATGACAAACATCAATAAACAGAACATAGGAAACATATATATGATTAGCTATATCAAAAAGAAACAAAAATTCAATAATTAAATGCAATATCGTTAATTTATCAGTCTTCTGTAGTATAAATCACTTTTTTTACTACTTATTTTGAATTTAATTAGTAATTTTCTTAAAAAGTTACAATTGAACTATAAAAATTATGTCACAGCCTCAGATTGAGGATCAATGATCACATATCGAAAAAACGATATAAAAAATTATCACATTAGGAATAAGAACTTGGTGGTCAAATTCAACTAATAAGTCTTTCAGTTTGAAGCACAATCCAAACAAATTTTTCTAGAGCACTCCGCGCAAGTAGGTTCATCGCATTTGAGACACTTGTAGCCCGCTTTTCTTTTCTTTTGATAGGGACAGAACCTGCAAGTTACCCTGCGTTCAAGTTTATCCTTACGTGGTCCAATGGAAGACGTTTTTTGATGTGAGCGCGAGGTTGAATTTCCATCATTTAACGGTCGTCGTTGCTCTGTACGATTTTTCAATCCTGAAGACTTCAACAGTCTTTAAAATGAACTGCTTCAAATCTTTGTTCAAATTAGGGATGTTTGATCTAATCTTCAAAAAATTGTGCACCAGTCCTAATGCCACCGCCTTAGTAAAATCGTATCTCTTCATTTTTTGGAGTCTTTGAACATTGCATGTAAAGTATGGCCGTTAGAGCCAGCCACAGCTAGCAAATGGTAAAAAACCGCCAGTGGCCACCGTCTTGTTTTGCGATTGGCACAATAGTTATTACACTTCATATCGAGGGTGTCGACACCACCTTTTGTGGCGTTGTAAAAGCCAATGATTTCTGGCTTATTTACTCCTTCGTCAAAACATTCACTGTGGTGCATTGAAGAAAGGAGTACTACGGCCTGATTCTTCTTTGGTACGTAAGAAAGGAGCGTGAGATCTTGGGTGAATCCATAGAGACTTGATGGTACTGCTCTTCCTTTGCTGGGTTGAAATTCAGGGGGAATTTGGGGTTTATTTTTCTTGAGTGTCCCAACCATCGTTAATCCATTTTTTAGCAGAGTTTCAGCTAATTCTATTGAGGAAAACCAATTATCACAGGTGATATTTCGGTGCGTCCCAAATAGATTTTTTGTAAGGCGAACCACAGCTTGAGTTGGAATCAAAAGAAAAAAGAAAAAAAAAGCAATGAAGAATTACGAATTTCAGGAAAATATGACAAACATCAATAAACAGAACATAGGAAACATATATATGATTAGCTATATCAAAAGGAAACAAAAATTCAATAATTAAATGCAATATCGTTAGTTTATCAGTCTTCTGTAGAATAAATCACTTTTTTTACTACTTATTTTGAATTTAATTAGTAATTTTCTTAAAAAGTTACAATTGAACTATAAAAATTATGTCACAGCCTCAGATTGAGGATCAATGATCACATATCGAAAAAACAATATAAAAAATTACATTAGGAATAAGAACTTGGTGGTCAAATTCAACTAATAAGTCTTTCAGTTTGAAGCACAATCCAAACAAATTTTTCTAGAGCACTCCGCGCAAGTAGGTTCATCGCATTTGAGACACTTGTAGCCCGCTTTTCTTTTCTTTTGATAGGGACAGAACCTGCAAGTTACCCTGCGTTCAAGTTTATCCTTACGTGGTCCAATGGAAGACGTTTTTTGATGTGAGCGCGAGGTTGAATTTCCATCGTTTTACGGTCGTCGTTGCTCTGTACGATTTTTCAATCCTGAAGACTCTTCAACAGTCTTTAAAATGAACTGCTTCAAATCTTTGTTCAAATTAGGGATGTTTGATCTAATCTTCAAAAAATTGTGCACCAGTCCTAATGCCACCTCCTTAGTAAAATCGTATCTCTTCATTTTTTTGGAGTCTTTGAACATTGCATGTAAAGTATGGCCGTTAGAGCCAGCCACAGCTAGCAAATGGTAACAAACCGCCAGTGGCCACCGTCTTGTTTTGCGATTAGCACAATAGTTAGTAAACTTCATATCGAGGGTGTCGACACCACCTTTTGTGGCGTTGTAAAAGCCAATGATTTCTGGCTTATTTCCTCCTTCGTCAAAACATTCACTGTGGTGCATTGAAGAGAGGAGTACTACGGCCTGATTCTTCTTTGGTACGTAAGAAAGGAGCGTGAGATCTTGGGTGAATCCATAGAGACTTGATGGTACTGCTCTTCCTTTGCTGGGTTGAAATTCAGGGGGAATTTGGGGTTTATTTTTCTTGAGTGTCCCAACCATCGTTAATCCATTTTTTAGCAGAGTTTCAGCTAATTCTATTGAGGAAAACCAATTATCACAGGTGATATTTTGTTGCGTCCCAAATAGATTTTTTGTAAGGCGAACCACAGCTTGAGTTGGAATCAAAAGCTTTTTATCACTCCCAACAAGAGATGCCCCATCGCTTCCTTTGCCCGTGTATATGTAGGCATTGTACAGATAAGAATCGTGAGCGTCGGTTAAGCATATTATTTTAATGCCATACTTGGCTGGCTTTCTTGGGTTATAAACCAAGAATCGTACTCTGCCTCTAAATCCAACCAGAGTCTCATCCACCGTCATGTGAGCACCAGGGGAATAATTTGTTTGGCAATTATTGATAAAATCGTCAAAAATGCTTAAAATACAAGCACTTGGGTCCGTCTTTTCTCTTTCGTCTCTGGAATTTCTGTCATCAAACCTTAATGCTCTTAAAAGGACTGAGCATCTCTTTTCTGGCATAATTGCTCGGAATAACGGTCGCCCAGTGACTGATGTATTAAATAATGATGACATATCCTCGCGAGATGATTTGAAAATTGGGCAAAACACTAGAATCCCAAGCAAGGCATCAATTTCAATTTCATTCGTGTCTTTGTATGATATGTCGTTTTTGTTCTCTATTTTTGCTCGCATTGATTCTAACTTGATATTAGTGTACATAACAATTTTGGAAATGATATTTTGGGTTATAAATAAACGCCATACTTCTTCAGGAGTAGGCCGAGAACCCAGAGCTAGAGCAGGGCCAATTATTTTACTTAATCTTATTTTTATAATATTATGCGCGGTTGTTTTGGCATTTGGTCGCTCGGGAATCGATGTCCAGGAGAAACAATTTTTTTTACCGAAGTATGTAATAGGTGCATCTTCAACATTGCTTAGGCGGAACAACCGTCATTCTGACAGGCAAGGTTGTACAAAAATGTGACTTACCAAAAAACTGCTGACGGCAACAGATCCCCGATGTTTCAGGGGCAACGGTAGACGCCTGACTGAGGAACTCTGGAGAAGCCGGACAGCTGGCACGAACGAGTGCGCCTCCACCGGCGAACAATTGAACTAGAGCGGTCATAATGACCGGTATTCCGGGTAGAGGGTTAAGGTTCGACTATCTCTTACATAATCTGGTAATTTATTAAATAATGAAGGACCTAGTGAGTTTGGAGAGTTTTCAGATAATTGGACCCTAGAGAAGGGTATATTCAGCTGATTTTTCATTCTGGTGTCATGTTTATGAATACTGGATCTGGTTGAAAAAAATGTTATACTTACTAAATATATACACACTAACTTCAAAGATGAAGAGTGATGGTAGCGTCACGATTTTACATGTTTAGAATTCATCAACACAGATTTGTCGAGAGGATAGACTAAACATTACTCGGAGAATTCTCTTTTGTGCAAAAAATACATCTTTAGCTCTCGAAGGCCTTCTCCAGAGGTAGATGCCATATCGAAGTCTGGAGTCTACTTGGGCATAGTAGAGCATCAGCAACTGATCTTTAGACATAACTTATCTCAAATTACGTAATTGATAGGAAACAGAATTGAATTTATTGATTGAGATTTTACAGTGTTCTCCCCAGGAAATATGTTCGTCTATAATCTATAATCCAAGAAATCGGACGATCTCCAACTGACTGAAGGTCTCCGAAATCAACTACACTAGATCCTTTTGTCTATTGTGAAAGCGTATACATTTTGTTTTATTTGTATTCAGATGAAGTGAGTTGGATCTAAACCACTGAGCCATATCAAAATGTTTTTTTACATTTCTGACGTATACAATATTCATTCCTATCTGATGCAATAACTGATCTATCATCAGCCTAAACAATAATTGAGCTATCACATATCTTCACAATATCGTTGATATAAAATATAAATGAGGTAGGTCCCAGAACCGAACCCTGAGGAACACCTACTTCAGAATAATCATTGCACGATGACATATGGTTACCAATAGTAACACGATTATTACGTTTACTCAAAAAACTTTTTATCCATTCATGAGTGACACCTCGGATACCGTATCGAGACAGTTTATTCAATAAGATTGTATGACTGATGCAATCGAACGCCCTGCTTAGGTCGCAAAATACCCCAATAGTGCACTCATCCGCATCAATGCATTTAATGACTTCAAGAACATATGAGTGTTTTGCAGTTGTGGTCGATTTATTTTGCATAAAACCTTGTTGATCCGCAGTTATGATATTGAAATGCTTGACATAAGATAACAATCTCTCCAAGAATGATAATTCAAATATTTTGGAAAAGATAGAGGGTACCGTAATTGGTCGATAGTTACTTATTAGGGAGAAATCACCTTTTTTATGTACAGGTGTAATTTTAACAGTTTTCAAAGCTTGCGGGGATGTTCCATTTGCAAATGATAAATTATGAGATAGACTAGTGGTGTCATAAGATGTTTAAGAACACATTTAACGATCACATGGGGTATTCCATCCGATCCAGAGGAAAATTTATTTTTCAGTTTCCTGTTGAGCATGACAAATAGTTCATGTTCAATAAACGGAAGGAGGATAAAAGAACTAGACTGTATTTTAATATCATTCAAATATTGATTAGCTATATCTTCATCAAGCGATTCAATTTGTGAAATTGATTTCAGTGGTTCTTCTTTGGAAAACTTGCTGAATATCTCAGAGATTTCCTCAGGACACTCGAATATTTTATTTTCATATTTTATGGAGGATATTGATTGCTTGCGCGATTTATTAGTTAATTCATTCACTACATTCCATGCTGCCTTAGTAGGGTTGTCTGAATTATTTATTTCATGCTGAAAGTAATGTTTTTTGAGTTGTGTAATAAGATTTCGTGCTTTTTTTCTGCTTTGTAGAAATCATTCAATAGAGAATGATGGCTTTTAAGCACAAACATGTCCTTTAATCGTATGCTGGACCTCTTAATATCGTCAGTAACCCATTTGCAGTTGGGCTGCTTCGTACACGGTGATGTTTATATTGTTTAACTTTAGGGAAATATTTATCAAAATAGTACAGGAAAATTTCTAAAGAATATTGAAAGGCCCCATCCATATTTTCCATATTTCCATTTTTTCCATATATGATTCAATTCCATAACGAATGTTCGGAGTACAAACTGGATTGAAATGAGTGATTTTTGGTATAATTCAATGTTCATAAAGCACTAATTGTTTCAAAAGAAGTATTTTTTTTATTCGTGTAATAGACTTTCAAGAAGACATCTTTCCAGTTTCAATATGATAGTACCGTCTTTGCATGGTTTACACGTCTTTGTAAATATTTTATTTTGGAATAAAGTGATTTCTTTCTTCTTCCAGAAGTTCTTGACATTTTTTATATTTTGTATGAAAATGGAGAAGTAGAAATCCAAAACATTTTTTCCACAAAAGTATTTATACTTGTATCGAGAAAGTAGGCTGCAGTTCACTGACATTCACTTGGTTCAGTAATTTATATCCAGTCATACACGATTGTGCCATCTCTAATATTCACCGCATCAAACAAATTCCTTCATTCCCGTCTACAAAGTGGCCGACAAACATGAATAATGACACGAAATCAAGCGAAACGGTCCTTTCCCACATCGTCTCCGATTTGCGCCAAAATCTATTTCTGTAACGATCCCCATCACTCACCTTCTCCATGCAAGCGGCACCCCCGTAATCTTCAGGATTGGCGATCGCATTGCAGCCGGACTTCCTTAACCGCAGCTTGTTGACGTGGAAAGCCGATCCGTAACAATACATCAAAATCATCGTCGTCGGGAAATAGAAACCGCAAGCGGCCAGTATTCTGATGGACGCTCGGGGATAAAAGGGTTCGCACGCCACCATCCCTGTCGGATTGAAGTAGAAGCCGCCACGCGGCAGTACTAGGATCGAGAACAGCGTCACGGACATTATCCAGGTCATGCTGATGATGGCCACGCAGCCCTGGAATAGAAAGTGCTTCTTAGTTTATTTTCTGGGATGATGGAAAAAGTTCAAGTGCGAGAAATCAAAATCAGACTTCGATCCAGAAAAGTTCTCAGACACATGACGTTTATTTTGAAATTTCCATTATCCATTTCTTCATTACTATATAGAAGTGATAATAATAATAACTAGTTTGGTGATCCAATAATTTTTCTGAAGAGAGGTTGTTGAGTAACAAGTTCATTTTTTTGAACAATTGTTTTCTTGCCAACGTTTCGAGTTTCATTAAGTTTTTCTTCAGGACCCTGTAACAATGAATTTTCATAAACATACCTTCCACTAAACTTATACCATTATTATCGTTTCAATTCTACAAGAATTAATGGGTTCTTAATTAAATTACTCATCAAAAAGTAGTTTTTTCGTGTTGATAATCTTACTATTCTGGAAACCATCAGACATATTAGATACATGAATATTACTGGAGTTTTTTTCCCAACACCATATCGTTATTTTTAACACCTCGACACGTGTTTCGATCACCAAGTGATCATCTTCAAAGAGGAAGATTAAAACTAAGGACTAGTGCGAGCTAATCCTGTTTATGCTATAAAGGTAACTCATACAGGTAAACCATTCAGGCATACCAACCTAAATCAATTTTAAAATTTTGCCTTATCTATTATTTTACAATATATGTTTATATAAAACAATTTTCAGCTATATAAAAATTAATTTCACAGTATGTAGTAATCAGTAAACCCAACAACATTATTTTATTTTATTTTAACAAGCTATATAGTATGCTCTTTGGTATAGGTCCGTCATCGTTATTCATAATATTATTGTGTTTACTTATTTCTACATTCTCATGGGCATCTGTTGTTGTTAACTTGTCTAACTAATCTTAATGAATATTAGATACATATTAAAAAAATTAAAACAGACAAACTTCCGAGACAACACCAACACAAAACGACATCAAACGAATGGCTTTATCCGTGATTCTGATTAGGTGGTGTCTGTTTTTTAATCAATGATGGAAAGGTTAATTATTTAGGTATCTCATTAATCAAATTGAAATATACAGTATTCAAGCCATCGACATTACTTCTAGTGTTAACACTATCGCATTTGCGGATATGTATCATTTCGCATAAAAGTCTTTTGGGTAAATATGGTTGAACATCTAGAATAGTTGGATGATCAAAATAAAAAATGTGTCCTTATTTGTCCTTATATTCAATGAGGGCTTTGTGGTTTACCATATTCAGTTTCTCTCATATGTTCTGAAACTCGTGTTTTAAAATACCAACTGTTTTGACCAACATAGCAGTTGTGACAGCTTCTACAATTCGATGTGTACACTATATTGGATTATATTTCTTGTGGTGATTTTGTTGTCTGTTTCGAGAATAAACGCTTTATAACTGTATTTTCATTTAATTCTGTTACATAACCAACATTTCTTCAGAATAATAATAATAATACCTTACTTATTTACAATTTCTACAAATCTCAATTGTTTTACAAATGTTGTACAGCTTGTCAAAACTAGCTGATACTTTGAAGTCGCTTCTTAGATTCGACAAACTCTAACTCAGGATATAATATAAAACAATAATTCATGGGAAAATACATAAAATATTCATGGTAAGTAAATAGCGATTCAGATAACAGTTTTCCGCTGTTTCTGTTCTTCCAA